AATTTTCGGAAGTCTGTTCATCCTTGCCAGTTTTGGAGCCATCTTCGGAGTGTTTCATTGGCAAGAGCGTAGATTTGTGTAATTTTTCGTTTTCTAAAAAACATAAAATTTATGTTATTGCTTTAGTAAAATGGAAAATCGCACGCAAAGATTTGCAAAACTCACCTTCGTAAGCTTGGACTATGTTGAATAGTTTTGGATGAAGAAAGCGTTTGGCATCCTGAAATTGATGTTCGACATTAGAGTATGTCTCCAGATAAGTACAATTAGATAGACAGAATATGAGTGCTGATGAAAAAGTAGCAAAATTTTTAACGGATCCTGCTGTTAGTTTCAAAGAGTATCCGTTGAAATTGAAATCATTGAAATTAACGCGAAAGCAGATGAAGGGACCACGTCGGAAATCGGTAGCTTATCTTCTCTACTGTCGAATTCTTGTTTAAAGCAATCAGAACTGTGCGAAGGTTGCTGTTGGGTACTGCTTCAAAGGACTTATTTTGATTTTCGTAGTGTTTCTTCACACCTTCACTAAGCTTTTCAGATCCACTTCTAACAACACCGCCAGCTGAAGTTCCAGTTCTTGTTGGATTTCCAGCAAAGCCTGCTGAGCTTGCACCACTTCCTTCGCCAAGTCTAGCTGTTTCTAAAATACTCTATCTTAGAGCCATTACAATTGGTCAAGAAAATCGCATGTAATGGAAAGAAACTACCTTTTTAACTTTAGCCAGAGCAGTTTTAATCTTTTCGGCAGGATCCTCTTCGTCTTCTGTCAGACCGCTGCTAACAAAAACGAGAAAAACAAAAAATTGAAAGTAAATTTTCATTCTGAAGAGGTAGAATTTAGTGAAGAACTTGGAGGTCCCTGTAGCTTACAGAAGCTGGCAGTGCAATTGGTGGCTCTTTCTAGTTTTTATGTTCTTATATAGAGCTACGAGAATTTTACAAAAAAATGCTGGATGTTGAATTAGTGTGCGTTGCGTCAATAATACAAAATTGGTTGTTAGATGTGGAGCGCGTTTAATGTAATAACCGAAAAAAACCTTTTCTTCTATAACTTACTACAATTAAATAGGTTTTGTAAAATTTTTGAGGAAGATATC